AGCTCCCCCAACTTGGGATCCAAACCCAAGTTTCTTGGCCAGACATCCTGCCTGTAGCCTATCTGGCACCCCAGTCTGGGGTTATCTGACCATTTCTTTTTTATTTTATTTTTTTATTATTTAATGTTTTTATATGTCATCCAATACTAAAGTCTCTGGATGGCTTACAGAAAACAAAAAACAAAACAACCCTATACAACAAACAACACACAACACACTGCATCCAATAAATGATGACAGAAGCAAGGATAGAACCAATTAGCTGTTAAAATATTGGGAAAATAAACAGGTGTTCGCCTGACGCTGAAAGTAATAAAGCAACAGTGCCAGGTGAACTTCCCTGGGGAGCATGTTCCACAAGCGGGTGGCTGCCACCGAAAAGGCCCTTCTCTGGGTAGCGATTTCCTCCCTATTTCCTTCAGAGAGGGCTCCCAGAGAGGGGCGGGAAGGGGCAGGAAGCTCTCAAGGGGCAGGAAGGCATATTTCTTCCGCTGTACAATGGGTCCTAAACACATTAGAGAGGGAAGGGAGGGTCATACCCATGAGCCTGCCTTGTACAAGGTCCGACCCCATCCACCTCGCCTCGCATTGCTTACCATGCCTGCCAGCACGTTCGGGGACTCGCCCAGAGGAGATTCCCCTCCGTTACATCCCTGCCAGTCCTTTTTGACTGGAAATGCTCAGGCATGAAGCTGGGGCCTTCTGCGTGAGAAGCAGTTGCGCCACCACTGGCCTATATAGTCTTTCTCTTCCTCGGAGTGGGCAGCATGCAGAAACCCCTCCAAATGTTTCAAGCGGCAAGCATAATTTCCTTTTCCTGTCCCCCACCCCACCCCACACCCCACCACACAAAAGAAGGTTGGAGCTCAGTCTCTCCCCCATGTTTTCCTCATGAAGGGCTGTCTGACTTCCCCCAGCTGTGACCATGCTCAGCTACCAACAGAAAGTTCTAATTATGCTCACGGCTAATCACCAGCACCGTTTTCTCTCTCACACATGCACAAACATAGCTACAGAGTCCTTAGGAGTTCTTCAGCTCCGCTTCCCAAAAGGAAAAAAAAAATGGTCCAGGGAAATATTCTCACACTGGAAGAGCATTCCAGAAAACAAAAGGAGAAAAAGGCGAGATAGCAATTCTGCCACCCGCCAGTTGGCTTTCAAAAAGAAAGCAAATGAGATATTTATAGGTATGGTATATACCCTAAAGAACCCCCAGCTTCATGGCCAGAAATAGAAGCAGTGCCCCAGCTTTTACATGCTCACAAACACACACACACATGCTCTCTCTCACTCACTTCTGCAAGCTGGTCACAAAGACTAATTTTAAAAAAAAATAACACGTCAAAGATAGAATCACTGGCTCTATCATAAATATTCGGAAACATGTATTTGTGCAAGTCAGCAAGGGAGAAAACCCTGCATAGGTATGTTTGCTCCCGGAACCTGACTTTAATCAATCAATTAATTAATTGCCTCCCTGCTTTAATCTTGCCAGGCTGTGCCACAGTCTCTCCGTGGCTCAGTGGCCAGAGAGTGTGGCCTGCATAGGAAAGGACCCAAATTCAATCTTTCCCTCTGACATCGTCATTAAATGCAAAAAACACAAAACAAAACAAAACTAGGTAGCAGGGGACGGAAGAAGACCTCAACCTTCAAGAAGCCCTGGAGAACTGCTGACGGATGCTAGCTGAATATTCTGGCCTGCTATGAGATTATGGCCTCTACTTTTTAAACTCTGGCCAAGCAATAGTATTACAAACTTTTGCCATCAGGATTACTGAAGATTGGCACAGCATGAGGATTTGGGCTGACTGGCCTGAGGAGCTTGCCCTCAAAAGCCAATGGGAGCAGAGGGCTGCAGACCTGGAAGGGGGGCAGGAAATGGAGAGTGCAAATTCACAACATTTGCTTGAAGCTTTGTCTTTCACCTCTCCAGAGCGCTGTGTCTCCGAAGTTCAGTCTGTCTGGATTGGAGTAACGCATCGAGTTATCTACGGTTGGGGAAGCTTCTAATTTCTCCAGACAGGAGTGTGGGTGTGTGCATTCTTCACCCATGCATAAATATCCCCTCAACTGAAAATAAGGCTTTCTGATTTTAATGTAGTCCGTTTTCTTTGGATGCCTCGAAAACTTCCCCTTCCTTCAAGAGACGGTCAATCACCCATGCCCTGTTTTGAAGCCCTCCTGCTCATTCTGCTGATCGGCCTCCTGCGTGTATCCCTCGCCCATAACACTCAAACCTGAGATTATCCCATGAATCTGATGGGTGGGACACTGAGGGCAGGGAAAAGGAAGGACTCCTTCACACAACCAATCGTTAAACAAAGGAATTTGCTGGCACCGGAAGTGCTGATGGCCGCCAATCTGGATGGCTTCCAAAGGGGATCTGATAGATTCATGACGGAGGTGGCTCTCTGTGGCTACTAGCCCTGCTGGCCATGGGCTACCTCCTTGACCAGAGGTGGCCGGCCTGCCTGCCTGCATGCACCAGTGGCTGAGGAGCTTGGGCTTGCCCCCATCCTGCTTGGGGGATCTTCGGGATGCTGGTTTACCAGCGTGTGAACAGAGCGCTGGATTAGATGGACCTTTGGTCTGCTCCTGCAGGATTCTCTTGCCATCTTATGCATCACTATCCAAATCGTCATTTCTCCACTGCAAAAAGGGCTGCATGGTTTGCAGGGAGAAGTGACCAGAAGGCAATCGTGCTTAACTTTTCCCCGTGGTTGTTCTGCCACGACCCATCCGATATATCCTTCCAATTCCTGCAAGCACTCAGATCTGAGAATAAAGCAGGAAGGCTGAGCAGTAGCAAGCAGGAAAAACTTCTCTGTGCATCCACCCGTCCCTGCAAATTCCTTCCTCACTGCTTTGCAGGGGGAAATGGGCAGTCCAAACCCTTCCACCCACTGAATGCACATTTCAGTCCAGTGTAATAAAAGAAAGCTGTTGCTGGAAATCCGCAAAGAGCCATTTCCTCGGAGATGAATATCGTCAGTGGAGAAATTCCACCCTATATTGTGAGAACCTCGTGTGACAATAGATTATTACACATCTAATGGTTATGACATCCACACTTTCCACCAGAGAGCAATCACCAAGCATTTGCTATTTGCTTTAACTTGACTTCTTTTCTAGAACTCATCTGCAGCTAAGCAACTAATATTCTGAGTTTGGTTCTAATTCCCAGGCAGTTCAATAAACCACAGCACTTTGGGTGGGGTAGCAGGGAAAGATAGAAGGAATGACAGTTTAATAACAATACCAAACTCGGCAAACCACTCGCAAATAAACAATGACCATTTGCCTCCAATGCCTGCACAAACACAGAGTTATTTACGCTCCCTTGACTGAAAGTGCCATCAGCCATAAGAATAGAATCATTCCTATTTACACTGCCAAGCATCTGTGTCTTAAAATGGGTACAAGCCACATGACCCAAACCCATGAAGACAATTTCAGATGCGTGACAGTGATGATCGTTATCATTATCATTATCAAGACACACATAACTTGCAGGATAGAAAGAAAACCACCCCCACCAAATAGATAAACCCCACCACATTTCGGATCCACCACTGACCCATCTTGTCTTGCAATTGCTCTTGGAAGACGTCGCTGGAGTCCCACCACAAAGCTTTCGAGATGCAGCTAGTGAAGGGAACTTACAAAGCAAGCAGACAGAATACTGCTGGAAGAGGAAAGTATTCTATGGACAAGAGAAAAGTTTTCAGAACTTGTGAAGTCTTTGGTAACAATTTGGATAGGAGTGGCGGGGGGGGGGGTTAATTAACTTACAAGAAAAAGAGGGTGGCTTTTGCGGGGGATACGAAAAGGTACAGCAAGAGAGACGGAGAAGGGAGCATTCAAGAAAGGGGGAGAGAGTACCAACTGCCTTGTATTCATTGCAACTGTGGTTACTTTCAATATTCTTTAGCTTCCTTAGACATTCCCCTCCCTCCACACACAACTCAGCTTACAATGCAATTAAAACATATGTGTGAAGCAGTTGCAACCATCATCAACTAAAACACAACTACAAAATGACCAAAGCATCTGCCTCAACCATGAATGAATTGAACTGACGCTTTGCACAACCCCCCATATGCCATCCAGACCTTCAGAAGAAAAGAAGGTGCTAAGCTGATAGTAAAAGGACGACAACACCACACCTCATGAGTCACAAAAGAGGAACTGGTGGAAGGGAAAGGTCTGGGGCTCATGAAGGCAAGCTTTACACAACTAGGTCGGCCACAAAGCAAAGAACCGGACTTAAGAAGCTACCTTGAGGTGAACCATAATGAAAAACAGGACAAGCATTCTTAAGCAATCAACCCTCCAAGTATAAATATTCTCATATCTGAGACTCCACAGGACAATCCTATGAACATTCAATCAGATAATTATCCGAAGGCGTTCAGCAGACTTCTGTCCCAGCAAGGATGCGTTTCTTTTTTTAACGGGACCAGTAATCCTTATGGGGGCTGCAATTTATTTGGAGTTTTCCGTAGTCTCCTGAAGGCTTCTTAGCAATCCCTCACCATGAACACACACACGAGTATTTGGAGTGCCCGCAAGAGGCGGGGAGACTCCCAACTGTCGAGGAGAAAGCCCCACTTGGGCAAAGGAGAGTATCGGATGGACTGGAAAGAGAGCAGACCCTTTACGTCCTGTGCAGCCCCAGGACAGCTCCTGCAGAGCCCGGAAGAAAAGCTTTACGGAGGATGAGGAGCCAGCCATCAGCAGCCTCCCAGAGGGAAGGGCGCCTGGTCAAGGGCAGAAAGTTCCGGCCAGCACCACGGAGAGCGCAGACCGAGCGCAGACGGGGCTCCCGTAGCGCCTCGCCCGCCGCGGCACGGGGCTCCTCGGCAGAGCGCGCCTCGCCAAGAGCAGGACCTTGGAGAGCGCCGCGCAAAGGCGCCGCGCCGGCCGCGTCCTCTGCGCAGGGAGCCCCGCGCCCTCGCCCGTCGCCCGTCGCCCGTCGCCCGCCGCGACCTTCTCACCTCTCGTCGTTCGGATCCCCCAGGAGCAAGTCCCGGAACCGGTAGCGAGGCGGCAGGGGAAGCACCTCGGAGTCGAGCTCGTTCATCGTCAAGGAGGAGATGTCCAAGATGACGCCGCTGCTCTTGCTGTTAGTGGCGCTGCCGCCCGGGGAAGGCTTGAGCCTGCGGGGAACAGAGGGGCGCGGGAAGTGAGCCGGCTGCCGCTGCCCTGGGCGCAAGTCCCCGGCGGAGAGGGAAGGGGGAAGCCCGCCGCCCGCCGCCCCGGCTCGCGCCCGGCGGGACTGGCGGCCAAGGCGCGCTTCCCCCTCCCGTCCCGCGTCCGAGTTGCGTGGAACCATGTCCCCCGGGGCGGACGAGAGGCAGCTCCAAGCGCGCTCAGGATCGGGAGCCCCCTCCCTCGTCCTACCTGCCTTCCCATCGCTCAGTCCCTCCTCCCCTCCTGCGGACAGAAACGCACGCACGCAGCAGCCCGCTGCGAGAGGAGCAGGGCGCGCGCGTCCATCCCCTCCTGGGATGCAAAGCAGGAGGACGGGATGCGAAGGGGCTGGCCCTGCTCGCTCAGAAGGGGGACCGCGCAGAGGCTGGCTGGAGCGTGGTTCGCAGCACGGGTCGTTCACACGTGCTTCCCAGCACCTGGGTCAGCGGGAGGAAGGAAGGAAGGAAGGAAGGAAGGAAGGAAGGGCAGAGACGAGGAGGAAATCAAGGCAAAGTGGCTTCAAAAAAAGAGGCTGCAGAAGTCTCTTGGGACCGGCTGTGCACTCGCAGCTCATGTCCTGAGTTCAGGATAGATTCGTGCAAGGGACGTTCTTGACACGTTTGAACTGCTTGCAGGTAACCAGTCAACCAGACTGGAATAGGAAGCTCTTGATTAGAGTAGGGCTTGCTCTTGGGTAAACTTCTGGGATTGCAACCCTGTGGGGTAGACAAGGTGGAGAGTGAACAACTGACCCAAAGTGAGCTCCATAGCCCAAATGGGCCACGATCCCCGAATGCTAGTCCAACACCCTAACCACTACACCTTGCAGCCTCTCCATTATTTCCCTTGTGAAGCAAAAACTAACATTTCTCTTTGTCCCCGTCTCCACTGCCTTTCCGTACTTTATCACTGTTTCCATATTTCCGGAATGCTGGATTAAAAAAATAGTCACAATTGAAAAGGGGGCTGCTGTTGGCCAACCCAATTTTAAAGAGAGACTCTGGGCATGTGCAGAGTCCTCTTTAGATTTCCTGAAATCAGAGCCCTGCCACAATGGTTACGAACCTCCAAGTGAGCCTCAGCTCTTGGGTGCAACTAATCGATCGCCAATAGCCAATCACAATCTGCTTGCTAGCACCCCTCACCTGCCCAGGGCGGCGGGGTCAGGCCACAGCCCCACAGCCCACCCTAACTGCCCCACTGGGTCAGCCCCAGCTGCACAGGGTGAGGCTCTCCAGAGATGTTCCTCCCCACTTTAGCCACACATGCATCCTAAATCAAGTTGCCAGTTCTAAAATGCTTTTTTAAAGCCTTTGCATTTTCCTGCATTTGTATTTCCTGGGTTGCTAGCAAAGCACAGGGCCCTGCAGTTCCCGCTGAACATGGCCTGAGGAGTCAAAAGAACCCCTCCTTGGCTTCCTGGTGCCCTAAGTAGCATCGCTAAATTCTATTCCCCCTTGAGCAAATGCCAGCAGAATCCTTTTTCCTCCTACAAGTCACATCTGGTGCCAGCCGGGCTTCGGTTATGCTGTGCACAAATGTTTAAATCAATTACCAGAGTGACCTTCTCACCAAAGCCCTCCAAACAACCCACATTTATTCTCACTGATTCTCCTGCCCCAGCATGTCCTGTGCCACTTTTTCAAAGCCACTTGGATCAAAACCCCAAAAACAAATGCTAAAAAACCCTATGAACAAGAAGGTGGCCATCAAAGATTGGTATTTAAAAACAAAAACAGGAAATCGGGTGCACATAAAAGAACAACAATGCTTAACAAAAAAAAAAAAAAAACCGCAGGATGATTCCAAGAATGTAATTCTATTGCTCCATTTTAGAGCTTTAAGCAGATATTGGATGGCTTACCTGTCAGGGATGCCATGATTGCAGCTTTCCTGCAATGCCCGGGGGCTGGACTAGATGACCTTTTTGGATCTTTCCAACGCTTTGAGTCTAGTTCCACATTCTCCTCCCAGCACTGGCTGACCAGATCCCCTTGCACTTGCCATGCCTTAAAACTTTTCTGAAATCGTCCACCTCTTTCAGCACCATCTGCCCTAACTGAAGAAGCTCTTGGTGGGGTTCAGAGGGTGGAGATGCCAGTCCTTGAGCCCGGGACCTCGGTGGGCACAGGAGCCACTGAGCAACGCTCCCTCATCAGGACCAGGCAGGTTTGAGGCTGGTGGGAGACCAGCTCTGCTTTCCTTCCAGCATGAAAGAGAGGCATGCATGTAGGAAAGAAACACACAAGTCAGATCTAACCGTGACCGGCGCCCAACCTATGGAATTCACTCCCCAGAGAGGTCCGCCTGGCACTGTCATTACTGGTTTTTCGGCGCCAGGTAAAGACCTTTTTATTTAAACATCATTTTAATTGTTAAAACATATGATCTGGCCAGGGCAACTTCTTCTTCCTTCTCTTTTCTCCTCCTATATTTTTATTTACTTATTTTATTATTATTATTATTATTATTATTATTATTATTATTTTATTTATTAAAACATTTTTATGCTACCCCATTCGCCGAAGCCTCAGGGCGGCTTACAACAAACATTATTTTACACTGATAATTTTAATTTTATATTTGTAACTCAGTGTATTTTTTGTATTTTTGTATTTAATGGTAATTTATTATGTTCTATTGTATTTCAATGTATTTGATTGTGTTGTAAGCCGCCCCGAGGTTTCGGCAAGGGGCGGCATAGAAATGTTATAATAATAATAATGATGATGATGATGATGATGATGATGATGATGATGATGGCTACCCCATAGTCCTGGTATTCTATGTGGATTCACCGTATACAAGCAATGCATACGGTGAGTCTTGGAGGATCCTGTTACTGCTCCAAGAAGGCTGGGCAGATGTTCTTTTACTGTCATGAGTAAATATATAAAATAAAGGTAGATTCTGGACACCAGAAATGGGCAGGTGTCCAGGTGCTTTGGACTCATTGCCAGACGCTCTGCCAGCATGGTCAACCATCAGGAATGCTGAGAGCTGAAGGCCAAAACACTCGGAGGGCTAGCATCTGCGCAGCCCTGCTGTGTGCTCTCACTCGGGGGGGATTTCTTTGGTCAGTCACCCTTGGCGGGTGCCTCGGCTTGCATGGACCGAGTTCCCATTACCCGGTTCCTTCCCTTCTCCTTCTGGACCAAACCCACAACAATAGTAGAACCAGCGAGCAGACAAGGCTTCTCTTTGTTCCCTCTTCATTGCTTCCCTGCCGCAAGAGGACAACTGAACCTCTCTCATTCTGAGGACTTCTTCTTGGAGAAGCTTTTGGGGCTGCCTTCCCATGATGGGGAGAAGGCTGCTGGGTGGAACAGTCACCCCAGTTTTTAGCCTCAGGAGCTGTCCGTGGTCCTGGACCCATAGTACCCTGGACAGCTTCTTAAGTTTGGGCTGAGCCCATGAGAGGCTTCACCAGCTCACAGGACCTGGAACTACCAGACAAGTGATGGTCTGGCCCAAACCCCTTTGGGATGGGAACAAAGTCAAATTTGTTCCCAACCACCCCACCCTATTCGAAATACCAGTCCACTTTACCTGAAAACTCTTACTGCCAATAACCAAGAAGTAAGGTGAGGCAGCCCTGGAAGGGGTGGGGATGGGGGAAATAGCCCAAGAGCCTAAAGCCACCCAAGAATTGTCAATTGGAAGAAGGGCATCTTGGGACCCTTGGAGACTCAGGTTTCTCCCCTGGCCCTGAGATTCTGTGCGCCCACACTAAACACAGAGGAATTAATCTGTGAAAATCTCTTCAGAATTTTATCCTAAAGAGGATAAAAACTGGGCTTGCCCAAGAACTGAATCCCTGGATCGCCGTTCTCTCAGCTGCCTTTCCTGGAACGACCCTGTCCATCTTGACAGTTTTCCTTCCCTTACAAGATTGCTCACTTACCACACCTTCAAAGTGGAGCTGGACACACACTGCTGCAAAGCGTAGATCTGAGCACATGCACACAACACACAGCACCTTCCAGAAGAGGGGAGAAATCCACCCCCTGCATTTGTGCACAAGTCCAAGGAGGCAAGTCTGCCAGTGACTTGTACAGAGAGACAAATGGGCATTCTTGCCTGCAGGTGGATGCAGTGACTCCTGCAGAGAGGCAACAGGTAACCTCCCTTCCGCAAGGGCCATTCTGCTGTGCCTCTGTTCCATAAAGCTTCAGTCACCCCGATTCAGAGAGGTAGAACAGAATGGCTGCAGAAGATGAGCAGGAAACTAGATCAGAGCGGGGAATCATTCAGAGACATGGAAGCGCACTCTCAGGAGTCAGCCAGTACTGCCTTAAGTTGCGTCCCCAGATAGACAGATCAAAAGCCTGTTATTTCTTCTTGAGAGCCACATTCACCATTACTGAAAAGCAAGAAACGCTTAGACTACCGACTTTCTGCTCACAGCCCTGGCGCACACCACAATCCCCACCTCGAGCATGCACTAACCTTCTCTGCTTTTGAGCCAGATCATCTCTCCTGGAATAGCATCTCACCATCATCTTGGGTGCAAGCATGCCAGTGGCTAAGCTGAGCGATGTCCTTGCAACAGACACACCTTTGCAAATCAATGGGGACCCCCCGCCCCAGCTGGCGCAGCTCTCCTGTGTTCACGGGCACCGACAGCAACGCATTCCAAAATGAAGGATTGTCCGTCCCCACTCAGGTTTGTTTTGGAAAGGGATACGGAATGACACTCCCCCTTCCCCCTTCTCCTTCTTCACCGATCCAGCGTGGCTGCTTGTTCGGCATTCCCCAACATGGCTGTTGGAAACCTCGGAGTCAGGAATATTTGCATTGTGCAACAGACCAAGAAGGAAACAGGGGAGAAAGGGAGACGAGCCAGTTCAGAGACGACAGACAGGAGTCCAAGGCAGGTCCGTTCTGGGGGTGCTCGCTTGCCCTTCTTGCATCCACATGCGTCTGGAGGATGATGCAGAAAACAGCTCCAGATTCTCTAGAGGCAGCCAGAATCCTGCCTTTCTGGAAGTACAAGCCAGTCATTTTTCCTCTGCAAATATGCTTATTAGCATGCTTCGCTTGGAGAAGAAAGGAGCACGTGGGGGCGGGGGGAGGCCAGCCTTCTCCAAATATTGGAAGGGGTGTCATGTGAAGAGGGGACAGACTCGAGCTCCATGGCTCTCAAGAGCAAGTCTAGAACTGAGGGGTGGATTTTTGGCTAAACATTAGGAGACATTTCCTGGTGATCCAAGCTGTTTGGCAGCAAAGCAGCCTGGCTCTGGAGGTGCTGCGTTCTTCTCCCCGCAGTAGTGTAATTTCAGGCTGCTTTGCCAAACCCACACTGAGCAAGGGGCTGGACTAGATGACCTCTGAGGTCCCTCCCAAAGGGAAGAAATGCTGTCAGCAGGGGTTCCTCTGACCAGTGGGTGTGTGTCCCTTCAGTTCTGGACAGGATTATGCTCCCCTTGAAAGCGCTTTGACCGGCAGCCCAACGATGCCTCTCTCTGGGCCAGACAGCCTGATAGCAATAAACTATGGCAGAGCTGGAAAAAGCTGCTTTCTCCTTGAGACCCTGGAGAACTGGCCTAAATAATACTGGGCCAGACAGACCCACAGTCCTGCTCAATATGAAGCAGCTTCACAGGATAATCTGTTTCACACATCTAAAGCCATGACAGCCAGTTTGGTGCAGCAGTTGGAGTGCTGGACCAGAGGTCTGGAGGTCCAGGTTCTAGTCCCACTTGGTCATGACGCTCCCAGGGTTACTTTGGGCCAGTCACTGACTCTCGACCTAACCGATGCTTCTGCAGGGCTTCAGCTACTGGGCTCCACCCTGAGCTACCGTGGCAGGCAGTTTTAGCCCCCTGACCCAAGAGGGGGCATTTTCTACCCTGACAAGCTCCACCCAGCAGGGCTGTTGTGCAGAAAAATAGCAGACCTCTCTCTTGCTCCTCCAGAGACCAGGACAAGAGTCAAGGGGTGGAAATTGCAGAGACAGAGTTTGGCTAAACATTAGGAGACGATTCCTGATGACACTGCAAGAGGAGGCAGCTGAGTTTGCCATGTTGGAGGGTGTCAAGACTGGTCTGACATCCTGGGAAAAGCTGGTCTAAGGTATCAGCTATTCTACGTTAGATTTATTCTTGGACAAAAGAAGGGCAATCCGTTAATATCCCTTCTTCCTCATTCCACTCATTCTGGGTGTGGCATTGTTTTTAGGTGAATTATCAGAAGGCTTCCTTCTAGGTTTATCGCAATCTTTTATCGCTCAGTCTTACACTTCTTCATGGATCTTCTGACACTGTTCTGGGACGTGCTCTTGGCAGGCTTGGCCTTCCCTTTAGAGAGAGAAGTGGGTGCAGATTCCGAAGGGAAAGAAGGCGATTGTGTGCCAAGATCCGCTGCAGGACTGAGGCAGGAGACAAAGGTGTGAGACATGAAAGCACCTCAAGGGTTTCCAAGGAAAAATGGGCACTGCCCTCCGTGAGCACATGCGGACAGACACCCACTCATCCCCGGAGCGGAATTTCCTCGCCTGAAGAACCACGGAGAGGCGGGCGGCAATGATGCTCGCCGTGCTTGCTTTAACCCTGCCAAGAGCACGTCCCCTTTAGAGAGAGAAGTGGGTGCAGATTCCGAAGGGGAAGAAGGCGATTGTGTGCCAAGATCCACTGCAGGACTGAGGCAGGAGACAAAGGTGTGAGACATGAAAGCACCTTTAACCCTTTGAACAAAGCTTGTTCGTTACTGCATTTCTGCAAGGGGATGTGGGGCGGGGGGAGAGGTGCTGATAGAGGGCCGCTTTCTCCGAACGGAAAGCAGCGGGTGGTCAAGACGAGCCAGACCTCAGCTTCACAGGGCAAAAATGAGCATGAATTGGCAGGTGAACTGAAAACCAGAGCAAATGCCTCACCATCTGGGTTCATATTAGGGCCAGTGATTAAGAGCACAGAAATGGGACTCAGATGATCTGGGTTCTAGTCCCCACTCGGCCATGGAGCCAGCTGGGTGACTTTGGGTCGGTCACGGACTCTCAGCCCAACCTACCTCACAGGGTTGTTGTTGTGGGGATAAGATGGGGAGCAGGAGGAGGAGGATGTAAGCCGCTTTGAGTTCTGTAAAAGAAAGAAGGTGGGATATACATCTAATAATGCAAAGTTAGATTGAATTTCAGGGCAAGGGGGAAAGAAGGCAGGGCAAACCCACAAAACAAGGAAGGTGTGGGATTTTCGCAAATTGAGTGGGCCCTTCCCACAGCCGGGGGCTCTAACCTGCTGCGTCTGGCTCAGGCCTGGAGCAGAGGCCCTCCCTGGGGCAAAGCTATCATAAAGGTCAGAGGGCAGGCCAAGAACTCAACTCATTGCACAACGCAGTCCCGGCCTTATCAGGAATCTGGGATCAAGCCACACCAAAGATCAGTCCATGAAGAACCAAGCTGCCAGGAACCGAATGGAGCTGCCCTTTTGCAGTCCTGGGACTGAGATGATAAGCTGGGGCTTCCAGGACTTTGCTGTGGGGATCAGAAGAGGATCTTAGTGGCAGGCTCTGTACGGGAGCAGCCCCCTTTTCTAAGGTCCACAAAGGTCCCCTGGCTTCGAGAAATGGCAGAGCTTTAGGGAGCGCAGGAGCCACTCAGCTCTGCCCGAGGTGGAGTTCCCCAAGGACTGCAGCTCCCCCTGGCCGTCCCACAGGGGTGTGCATTGGTGTCCGTTGTCTACAGGGAATACTGTGCGAAGGCGAGCGAGGCAGCCGTGTGTTACCTCCTTCCTCAGGAATCCTGACAAGAGCAAAAGACCCAGCGTAGTGAGAGCCAGTGTGGTGTGGTGGTGAAGAGCGCAGGACTGGGACTCAGGCGATCCGGGTTCGAGTCCCCGCTCAGCCATGGAGCCCACTGGGTGACTCTGGGCCAGTCACAGACTCTCAGCCCAGCCTGCCTCACAGGGTTGCTGGGGATAAGATGGAGGAGGAGAATGATATAACCTGCCTTGAACCCTTTGTAGGAAAAAGGCAGGATATAAATCGGGGGGGGGGGGGAGATCGTGGAGGGATGGGAGCTTCTTCATGCTTTCATTTCCCGTTTTGTTTTGTCCAGGTTCTGGCAAGTTAGGGCGAGGCGAGGCCGGGCGAGGCACCTCCCTTTGAGCTGAGGGACATCCGGTGTTGCAAGAGAAGAAGCCACAATCACAAAGTCAGGTTTGGACCTAGGAAAGAATTCTGGGTGGAACAGGAGGTGAGGACCATGCAATGTGCTTGAGGACCAAGCCGGGACCAACCCAGGGCAGACCAACCAGCAAACATGGCAGAGCTTGGAAAATCCATGTGGTTCAAGCAAGACCCAAGTCGAACAGAAGCCCCTTCCTCTCCAGAAGTAGCAGAGGGTCCACTGGGCAACAGCCTCTGCAGTTCGAAGGCCCACCATGCAGCTCTTGCACCCCAAGGCAGAGGACCTTCCTGGCCCAGCTCCTACCAGGTGCTTTTCTGAGATCAGGCGGGTCTATTGTGTGGCCCACTTCCTCCTTCGCCTTAACACACGCTCAAAACAAACCCAGAGGATGCGGAGCACTCCGGCATGAGGAGTCCAAAATAGAAAACCTGGCAATGCGGAAAGGTCATCTTCCAGCTTTCGCTTCTGTTTAGTAGCTGCGTTTTCCAACCTCCCGTGTCATCTGAGAAGGGAGCACAACTCTGACTACGCATTTTGGATGCAAGGCATTTGGACTCTGGTGAACTTTGACATCTGCTGCATGGCTCTGAAAGCGGGGAGCACTTCCTTCCCAGAAGGAGGTCATTTCATGTTTCCAGGATTGAGTAATTCTCAGGAAGCTTGAGCCAAGAAATGATTGGGGCCGTCCTGGAAATTCCCAGGACACCACAAGTGTTCTCATGGGTGCCACAGACCCAGTGGCAAAATTTAGCCCATGCAGAAGAGAATTCATAGTCAAGCATATTAATCACAGCTGGAAATGCTTGACCTGGCAGGTGATTAGTGCCAGTGGAAAATGAAGAGATCCACATCAATCCTTTGGTGCACATGAAGCAAATAGCCTTATAATAGCTCGGAGTTGCCCAGTCACAGCCAAATGCAACCGTATCCTTGCAAATTACTTTGCTTAGAGCAGCCTTCCTTCCCAGCACACTTCAGATGTGTTGGTCTACAACTGCCATCACGTCCATCGGCTTCTTGGCTGGGGAAGGTGGGTGCTGTAATCCAATATGTCTGAAGGGCATCTGATGGTAGGTAGTGAAAGGCCATCCAATTCTGATTTGCGTCCCGATTCATACAAACAGAACAGCTCACTCAAAACACCTGTCGTATTCAGACAAAAAATCCCAACATTACCAACATAACAACTGGATAGGCAGAAGTCTAATTTCCTGATAAACTTCAGGCTTCCCAGGTACCAACAGTGACTGATTAAGAAAAATCTTCGGCCTGTAGCGGACAATCCGATGGATTGGTTATGACAGTTATGAAAAAGGTAAACTCCATGTCAGGCCTCACAGGAGAGGAATTGGAAATATTGCTGCCAAAATCATACTGCCCTTTTGCAGATGC